TCCTGGAGATGGTACCTACCCTCCCTCCCTTCTCCCCCACTGCTTCCTCCCCCTCCCAGCCTGGCACATGGGGCAGGTAGGGGGGGTGTAGTTTGTCCCTCAGGTGCAGCTTCAAACCCAGCCAGTCTCTAGAGAATGCAATCTCGCTTGGATTAGAGGGGAGGGGACACAGCGGGGGTGGGGGGGAGAGACCCATTCCTCCCTTCCTCCCATACCCCATGTACTATGCATTGTGGCCCCTGCCCCAGAGTTGGGGATGTGGGGGGGAGGGGCGGGGCATGGCAGGGAGTTACTGAATGTATGTCGGTGTTTGGGTCTCCGTGCATTTCAGAGGTGGGGGAGGTGGAGGGGCAATGGAAGGGGGGGGCACCCACCAGAGCCTCAGGTGGTAAGACCACCCTCTCCCCCCTTGCCCTTCGCCCCACCCACCTGCCCTCCCCTACCCCGTGGGAGGGAGGGGGGCCAGGAGGCCGAGAGCTGCTGATGTACATGACAATCACAGTGTCTGTGACGTGCGATTTTAAACCCTTTGTGTTTTTGGTCAGGATTTTAAAGAAAGATATTTTTATGGTAATTGTTGCTGGTCTATTTTACTATATATTTATGTAATAAATATATGATGAAAAAAACAAACCCACCCACACAGCCCAGCTGGCACCTGGCCTCTGCTTTCTGTCTGTCTGTCTGTCTGGTCACCAGGCTCTGTGTGTACCCCTTGCGGGTGGCACGTGGCCAGGGGAGCGAGGGGGGGCACTACAGAGGGTCCTTGTGCCCTGGCTTTTGTGGCACTGCCCAAGTCAAATTTGGGCATGGATGCTTGAGGGTGGAAAGGTCCCCACCTGGTAAGGAGCTGAGGTCTGTGATGCATCCTGGGAGTAGCAGAGCTGGGACAGCTTTGGTAGTCCTCGGCTGCACCAGTGGCAGCCGCAGCAAGCAGGGGGTGCCAGGGTGGACCGTGTGTCCTACAGGGCACAGGCAGTGCTAGGGAAATCGAGCAGCCCTTCCTCCTCTCTGCAGGAAGCAGTGATGGATGGGCACCTGGGGGGCAGCAAACCCTTCCCAATCCACTCCCCTCCAGCATCAATTTACCACACGCTGGTGATGGGAGGCCAAGCTGGGTCCACGGACACTCACTGCCTCTGCACTGGAGCAGCGGATGCTGATTGGACAACTCTCTGCCCCCTCTGTCACTCCTGGCAACATGCCACCTGCAGAGGCTGAGCCAGTATTGAGGGTATGAGTGACTCCTGCCTGGGGATAGCAGGGTGACTGTCCCCCACACTTCTGCAGCTGCCGGAGCAACATGTGGGCTTTGTGCCACTGCAGACTGGGGCACACTGGGGTCCTCTTTGGGCTGAAGGTGCCAGAGCTCTGCAAAGTGAGTCCTGGCTCAGCATGATGGGGAGATAGGCAGGAATAGCAAAGCAGCTGGGGACAGAGCCCCGCAGTCCACCCAGCTCTGACCATCAGCACCCCTTCCCCCCACCCCCATGGCTTCATAGTGCCACCCTGCTCCCCTCCAACAACAGACATGAGAACCCAGGTGTCCAGACTGCAAGCCCCTCAGCTCCAACAGACCAGGTGAGCATTGCATGCAATGGCAGATAGCCAAATCCTCAAGGGACTGGGGTACAGGGGAGGGCCAGAGGTGATCTTTGACCCCTGGATGCGGGGCTGGAAGTGGGGTGGCCACGGTTGCTCAGGAAGGGGCTGTCCAGGCAGAGGCGTTGCTTTAAATATATTATTCCCTGCGGGGCTCCGGGCCTCCACAGGGTAGCGGTGTGAGATCCACAACTCCCATATACACAGGTCAGTATTTACAGAGGGACCCTCGGCCCAGGGAGGGAGGGTGGGAAGGGGGCGCGGGGGTCCGTGTCCTTGAGGAGCAGTCAGTTCAGTTGTGGTATAAATAGTCTGGCTGGTGTCCCTCGGGGGATGGGGGGAGGGCATGGGCCCTACTGGGCATCAATGCGAAAGGAGAGCAACTTCTCAGAGTGCAGGTTGTTGAGGGTGCGCAGGTCAGGCAGCTTGAGCAGCAGCTTGGTGAAACGCGATGTCTCTGTGGGGCGGTTCTTCAGAATCAGGGCACGCAGGGCACGGATCAGTGTCTCCTGCAGCTGCTCCACCAGTGCCGTGTCCTCCATGCCGGAGCGGTCTATGGGGAGGGGGATAGACAGGCTGTGAGTCGGGCAGAGAGAGCACGAGCAGCCCACAGCCCAACCGTGCCATGCTGGAGACCTGTGCTGTGTCCCCACATGCTTGATCTCATGGCAGATCCCTGCACTGGGTCCCCATCTCCCTAATCTCACAGCAGATCCCCATCTCCCTGATCTCACAGCAGATCCCTAAACTGGATCCCAGACTTTCCATTCCACTCAGAGCTCTGTTTTAATATCCCCCTGCCTCCCTACTCCTTCCCCCTATATTGGATCCCTAGCAGTCGTGATCCCCCTCTGCCAGTTTTCCCTACTCCCCAAACTGTTCTGTCATCTTCAAACCTTGTCTGTAATGATTTCATGTTTTCTTTTAGGCCTTTGATTAAAATGCTAAATTACATA